AACAAGACCCCAAGATACTTGAACTCATTCACTTGGGCCAGTAACTCTCTCCTAACACAGAGGGGCAATCCGTCGTTTTCTGGCAGAGACTCATGGCCTAAGATTTGGCGGTGCTGACTCTGATCCTAACCATTTCACATTTCACATGTACTTGGCTGCTATGAGTATGATTCCAACTCAGCTGGCATCTCAGCCACACAGTTAAGGGTTAGAAGAAGGACTAAACTCTATAAACAGATATTATGTATGCAGAATTGATAGGCAAGGGACAATTTTTGGTATCAGAAGCATTCTGGTTTCCGTTTGTAGCCAGTTTTTAGTCCAAGTAGTATCAACCAATCGCGTCTGAGTGGCAGATAAACAGCCCATGCAGGCAGCCAAATAGATGATTTAGCTTTTAAAAAGCATATGATTTCAGATATCTTTTCAGACAGATTAGTTAAAATGACCGGTGTGCGGAGGAAGTGGTCTTGGCCCTGCATATCCAATGGCTGCTCTGGAAATCCCTGAAATATTGGTTGTTCCCTCCAAGCTTTTTGTCATCCGATAGATAGACAATGGGTTCCAAGGCTGCAGAAGGGCAGGTTTCCTGGAATTGTGTCTAGGCTTTATACGCAATCAGCGGAGAGGTTACAACAGTGCAACCAACTAAAACTACTTTGTGTGCCAAGTAGGTGAAGCAAAAAAAAAAAAACCAAACATAAGTGGCTTAGTCTTGAGCCAGTGTTTAATTTGTCCATTCTGGGCTACAACATTGTGGTCCCCATGAAAGAGGACCCACTCCTTATATAGTTATGGACAGCTCAGTCTAAGGTATTGCAAACACAATGATTCTTGATTTCAGATCATTTTAAACTGTAGAAAATATAGTCATTCATACTATATTCCATTTCTGCCAATATATCCCCCTAAATTCTAAAAATGGACCTTTAAACTAACGTAGGTTTACCTAGTTTTTAGGTGTAGGCAACAAAACTACTTAGGTTTAGAAAAAAGATCATGGTTTGGGTTAAAATTAGTACGTTTGTTACTACATAGCATCACATACATCATGTGAGATACAACATGACATACAATGTTTCATAGTTAAAATAACTCAACGTTGACATCTGGCTCCACAAATTGCAATCTCCTGAGCGAAAGTCCTGTCTTTGTTTGACCTTTCCGCCACCTATTACAACCAGACTTCCTCACTTTTTACAACACATTAGTCAGTGGCCCTCTGATGCAGGGGGCGACTGACCAAGTGTTGATATGTGACGGGTTGGGAATGGGACATCCTGACAAAGACATGCAGGGGCCTGTATCACGAAGCGAGATCAACCTTTCCTGGGTTACCCAGACCTATCCTGGGTTGACTAACCCTAACAATGGCAATCAGGATAATCGGTATCATGACGCTGGATATCAACTCGGTACCAGTGTTGCTTTATCAAGAGCTGTGAACGCGCACGCAGCGGACAAATCACAATCATGAGAGAAGCGCAGCGTCACTGAGCATCACTGAGCGTCCTCACAGAGCGCCGTATGTGAGGGAGAAAAAAGTATTTCTCGTGAGGATCAGAGATTAATTCTACTAAAATATGTGGAGAAGAAAAGCAACATTACAGAAAAGGCCAACACCGTGGCAGCTGCAGGAGGAGGAAACATGAGTGGCAATGCATAACGGGATGAATAATGTTATTTTAGTTTAGATTATTTGCACATAATGTTAAAAACAGACAGTATAAAAATTACAAGATTAAAAAGAAAAGTACCGGAGAGGTTAGAAGCCACTAAAAGCTTATCAAAGAAATTCCCCTGTCGAAACATCAATGAAATCACATGATAGAGAAGAACAAAAAAACGAGTCAGGAAAGAAGAAACAGGAGGAGAGAGAGAAAAATCAAGATAAAACAAGGTAGCAAATAAAATGATGTGTAGGTTAAATTACTCATCACTGGTTCAAGTAGCTACAGTACCTGTACCTGTACATCTGACACTGATCACACCCTTGAATCCCATGAAATCAATGCTGCGCAGATGAATTGCGTGTATTACAATTATCGTCTAACATCATTGCGTCTGATAAATTGGTCTTCTTTGTCATAACGTTATATATGCTACAATAAAGCTTAAAGCTGATGCCACAATTAAATCATATCAACACCAAATTGATAGTCTGAATAAAATCATCCCGATATTGAGCTGTGTTAGAAATTAACAGCTGCGCAAAAATATACCTAGTCTCCCTCTTTAAAAAACAAAAAGGAAAATCCCTCAAACACCATGAAGTGTAGACATATAGGCTACTTTCCACATTTCCAGCAGCAAAGCTGTCAATTAGGCCCATTCTCTTTAACAGGGATCATTTCCTCCAACAAAACAAAATGTTGGCACTAATATATTAAGTGTCCGCAAATGATCAGTTTCTTTCTTATGAAGGGGTGGGATGAAATTTTGACTTCTTTCCACTCCTTTTTGAACAATCTTTTCATTGTCTGTTGTTGTTGCTTTCTTTTCTTTTTTAATGTTCAAAATAAACTTTCAAATCAAAATCAATCAAATGAATTAAACTTCCCGTCATGACTGGGCTGCATTTCTGTCAGCGGAGTCATTTTTTTCCTGAACAGCTGATTGGCCAGTGGGTGGTGCTTTTTATAGGATCAGATTCAAACCTGAACTTACCCTGCTCCGGAGCAGGATAGCCGTTCAGAGTAAGTTACCATGGTGATCTACCCCGATAAGAACTGAACCAGCTTCGTGAGACCGAAAACCCAGGGTTAACCCTGAAGTTACCTCGCTAAGACATTAATAAAAAAGACAGCAAGCAATGATGGTGAAGAGAAACTGTAAGTCTTATTATTGGTGAATAAGGTGCGTCTCTACTTTTCAGCCTTACAACAGTTACCAAAAACAACATGTATGAGTGACATCTCTGTTCTCTATTTACAGATAAATTAAGTGAAAAGGAGTATGTAGATGGTAAGGCACCATAACTTAAAATCCTAATCCTTAAAATCCGATGATTTTTACAAGTATAGATTACTCTTTATTTCCCCCTGATTTTTTTCTGCTTGAACATTTCAATACTGAGGCAGGGGGAAAGGAAAAGCAGTGTTACTGAGACTTGAGCAGAGGCCAGGGGTCAGTAGTAGGAGAGGCAGATGCCCTTTCTATGTGTTATTTAGATAAATCTGCCAAGAGAAACAGGTTTTAGAAGCACATGTGTCTAATACTGACAGAAATAAGGACGTGAGAGGAAAATTGTGAGGCTTGGAAAGAGCATAGAATTCTCAGAATATCATAGAATTTACAGTATGTCATTCACACCACAATGCTTCATACAATTCCTGGAACATCCTGTGATGTCATATGTATATATGTATGTATATATATATATATATATATATATGTGTGTGTATATATACAGTACAGGCCAAAAGTTTGGACACACCTTCTCAATCAATGCGTTTTCTTTATTTTCATGACTATTTACATTGTAGATTCTCACTGAAGGCATCAAAACTATGAATGAACACATGTGGAGTTATGTACTTAACAAAAAAAGGTGAAATAACTGAAAACATGTTTTATATTCTAGTTTCTTCAAAATAGCCACCCTTTGCTCTGATTACTGCTTTGCACACTCTTGGCATTCTCTCCATGAGCTTCAAGAGGTAGTCACCTGAAATGGTTTTCCAACAGTCTTGAAGGAGTTCCCAGAGGTGTTTAGCACTTGTTGGCCCCTTTGCCTTCACTCTGCGGTCCAGCTCACCCCAAACCATCTCGATTGGGTTCAGGTCCGGTGACTGTGGAGGCCAGGTCATCTGCCGCAGCACTCCATCACTCTCCTTCTTGGTCAAATAGCCCTTACACAGCCTGGAGGTGTGTTTGGGGTCATTGTCCTGTTGAAAAATAAATGATCGTCCAACTAAACGCAAACCGGATGGGATGGCATGTCGCTGCAGGATGCTGTGGTAGCCATGCTGGTTCAGTGTGCCTTCAATTTTGAATAAATCCCCAACAGTGTCACCAGCAAAACACCCCCACACCATCACACCTCCTCCTCCATGCTTCACAGTGGGAACCAGGCATGTGGAATCCATCCGTTCACCTTTTCTGCGTCTCACAAAGACACGGCGGTTGGAACCAAAGATCTCAAATTTGGACTCATCAGACCAAAGCACAGATTTCCACTGGTCTAATGTCCATTCCTTGTGTTTCTTGGCCCAAACAAATCTCTTCTGCTTGTTGCCTCTCCTTAGCAGTGGTTTCCTAGCAGCTATTTGACCATGAAGGCCTGATTGGCGCAGTCTCCTCTTAACAGTTGTTCTAGAGATGGGTCTGCTGCTAGAACTCTGTGTGGCATTCATCTGGTCTCTGATCTGAGCTGCTGTTAACTTGCGATTTCTGAGGCTGGTGACTCGGATGAACTTATCCTCAGAAGCAGAGGTGACTCTTGGTCTTCCTTTCCTGGGTCGGTCCTCATGTGTGCCAGTTTCGTTGTAGCGCTTGATGGTTTTTGCGACTCCACTTGGGGACACATTTAAAGTTTTTGCAATTTTCCGGACTGACTGACCTTCATTTCTTAAAGTAATGATGGCCACTCGTTTTTCTTTAGTTAGCTGATTGGTTCTTGCCATAATATGAATTTTAACAGTTGTCCAATAGGGCTGTCGGCTGTGTATTAACCTGACTTCTGCACAACACAACTGATGGTCCCAACCCCATTGATAAAGCAAGAAATTCCACTAATTAACCCTGATAAGGCACACCTGTGAAGTGGAAACCATTTCAGGTGACTACCTCTTGAAGCTCATGGAGAGAATGCCAAGAGTGTGCAAAGCAGTAATCAGAGCAAAGGGTGGCTATTTTGAAGAAACTAGAATATAAAACATGTTTTCAGTTATTTCACCTTTTTTTGTTAAGTACATAACTCCACATGTGTTCATTCATAGTTTTGATGCCTTCAGTGAGAATCTACAATGTAAATAGTCATGAAAATAAAGAAAACGCATTGAATGAGAAGGTGTGTCCAAACTTTTGGCCTGTGCTGTATGTGTGGACAATTCCAGGAGAATCCTTCCAGGAGTGCATGGAGGCGTGGCGGAGAAGGATGGGAAAGTGCGTTGGACTCGAGGGGGATTGTTCTGAAGGGGAAAACTTGTAATTTGTACTTCAGATTTGATATAGTACATTTTATGTGACCCCAGGCCTGTTACTTTTGTGACGCACCTCGTATATACACATTATATATATATATAAATATATATAATATATATATATATGTGAACAAGCTTCTATTTACATACATTTACAGGTCTGACATTTTTTTTTCCACTGAATGATGATATTCTCTGCTCCAAATCATGTACCTGGGTGCTGCGACCAATAATAAAGCATCCACTGCTGATTTCTTCTTAGAGGCAGTGCAAAAGTATGGCTTTCCATTAAGGTAAGACCAACAAATCGGTGTAGCTCACAGTGGTACTCATTCCTCAGTAATTTGTGCATTAGCTGTCAGTTAAAGATGTATAATGGTTGTAATATGTTGGATGTAAAACAAATGTTAAGCTGGCCATCAGCTCCAGTATTCTTGTTTGAACGGTTGGATCATTTCAATCATTTTACACATCACTGCACAATAATTTGACCAGTGAAATGACCAGAAAGAGTTATGCACAAATCAGCAATTGGAATAAAAATTAAACCAAAACCAGAAAACACCTTGTTTTTCGCTTGTCTTTCATAAAAATCTATTTCAGAACTTAACAGATCATTAAATCTAGAGTCTTGGCTCGTCATGTTTAAGGTTGTAAGACGAAGCTGCAACAACATCCTCGACAATGAGTATGAATTAACAACATTAGCATTTTGAGCTCTATAGGCTCCGACACTTTGAAGGCAGCAATATTTAAGACCTAGACAATCTAAATTGTAATTGTAAGACAACTTAATACTTTTTAAAGCCTTTTATTTGTAAATTTGTATTTAAGACTAATACAGTATTAGGTTTTTATTTTGTTCAAAGTTATGTATTTGGAGCTCTCAAGATTTTAAAAGTTACTGTAGCGTATGTATTTTTTAAACATAACTTTTTAAAAAAGTATTTATTTGTGTGTGATACATTCTTTTTAGAGTGAGAGGTGACCAAGGAGTGTAAAATGTGGGCATAGCACGATGCATGTTCACTATTAGAGGCTGTGGAAGGGGAAGTTTCCTGTCAGGAAAGAGTGTGCACAATCAAAGGTATATATTTTTTAAAAAATAATATTCAATAGAATTAATCATGTCAGATGTTGCCTTCCACAGTCATACTTTGTGAAAGTTCAAATATACTGTACAAACATGAGGGTATTCTTATGTTTTCTTTTAACAGAATAGAGTGTTTGTGGCAAGACGTTTGGATGGCAGTTTCAAACGTGTACTACGAGGTTTTTCACAGCCTTGAGGATGAAGGTCTACTAGATCCTTCTGACAGCATCCACCTGTTCTGTGCCCAGCATGTATTTCTTCCACGTCTGCAGAGGGATCTCGATGTCTTCAGAGTGGGTTGGGATAATCACCCACTAAGAACAGAGCAACATCTGTCCCCACAACAACTGTGGACAATGGGACTCCTCCAGAATCCTGTTGATGCTCCAGACCTGGCAGAGGTACTAATTAAAAGATTTTTTTTAAACAGACAGGGTATTAACTGTGTTCCTATATCATATAATAACAATGTTCACACCATTTCATTTGAAAGATTTTAGACAAGCACACTGTAAAGGAAGAACTCCAAACTTATACCATGAAAATAATTGGACGAAAAATGTAATTACTTTTTAAGTATTATTTTGTCATTTATAAAAAAAAAAACTTGTTTCTATAAAGGTAACCAGCATCAAATAAATGCAAGAGATAACAGTTAATTTCATTAAAATTCATATTGCTGAGAGCTTAATAAAAAAACACTTACTGATATCAAGGTGATGCTTAAAACTATTAAAATGCAATATATGCACAGCATATAACAACCGGTACTTTAAATATGGCGACTTCTAAATAATATATTTTGATAGATAGTTGAACTGTTTTGATACATGAACAAGGCTTGTATTTCTTTGGCCACATAGGGGGGGGAAAAAACAAAAGAACTGATACTATTTTGATACTTCATGCATCAGCATAGTTTCAGTTCTGTTCACATGTAGATCTAATTAAAAACCTGCTTGCCTTTATAGTTTGACTTTGTCCTCTGATTCTATAACTAATTTTTAAATCTGATATTTTTAATGTAGGAAATCAAGGATCTTGATTTCAATACTGCCAGTGAGCCAGACGCGACCAGTTCTGGAGTGTGATTCTTCCACCTGTTCATTGTCCCCTCTGTGAGCAGGATATGGCAGACCTCAGGGCCACTATTGATGTAACAAGACCATCAGAGTCCCACGGAAGAGACATTTATTTCACTGTGCTGAACTATGTACTAAATCATCTACCCTAGATGCAAACATTGTGTTTCAAGGGTTTAACCAGTTGAACACCAATAAATTAACAAATGGGTTTTAAATGTTTATTTGTTGAAGCCAAGTACTTCCAAACCTGGATATTTGTCTTTTAAAACTGTTCAACAGTACTGTTATATAACAAGTTCTTGGAATGCAAATGCAGTACTATTTTTTAAAATCAGAACAGAGTAAACAATAGCAATTGGTGCTAAACATTTAGGTTGTAGTTTAACCTTGAAAACAGACACATTTAATGGAATTACACATTGTTGAATTCTTGGCCTAGCTGAAAAGCCTCCTTCAGAACCTCTTTGAATTGGTCATAGGACCTCATATGTCTTACAGGTAGCACAACAGTCTTGGAACATGCTGACACAACAGGGTAACAGACTTTGTGATGCCCGAAGTCTGCATTGCAGTCATGGTTAAACTTGATCGTTACAGCAAAATCCTTCTTCTCTGAGGGAAGGAGTGGGATGTGACCTTGGCCTGTGATCCACTGCAGAAACCTCGCAGGTGTGATCTTTTTGGTCTTTGGGCCATCTTTGTCATCTTCACCTGGGCTGTCTTTGTCATCCACATGCCCCTGATCTTCAGCTATGAAGCAAATAGATTTAAAAAAAAAAAAAAAACAAGTGTATGTGACAGTTAAACATTTACTTTTCCTTTATGGCAGTGCAGTTCTTGAATTTAAATAAGTGAGTTAGACAGAGGTACTCTCAGCCACAAAAGAACAGCAGATCCAAAAATTTAAAATGATTTCATATTTGGAGATAATCGACTATCTCAACCAGACACAATAGTTATAATAATGGATAATGGATACTGTGTTATTTTATTAGCAGTAAGTACTTCTACATGGAATGGAGATGATTTGTATTTGTCAGGTTTAGGAAACAATGAATCTAGGGATGCACTGAAATGAAAATTTGTGGCCGAAGCCGAAGATTATTAAACGCTTGGCCGAGTACTGAATACCGAATATCATTGTTTAGTTTTTCATTAGTTTTTGCAGATGAACCCCCTCGAAATTAGTGTTGTCACGGTACCAAAATTGGATCCCACGGTACGATACCAATGAAAATATCATGGTTCTGAGTAGTATCACGATACCACAGCGAAAATGAGGCAGATGTGCCTTTTGTCATTTATGAAAAGATAAATCACTTTTCTATAATACCTCAATGATATTTCAATGGAATAAATTACTTACTGACTTATTCATACTTCAAAAACAGCATCAATAAGTGATTAACATAGGGGGGAACAAAATAAAATAAATAAATGAAATAAAAATCAACCAGCCACCCTCCTCCCCTGACAGTCCCTTCATAAGTAAAGAACAGTCCCTAAAGTGCGGTGAGGTTTGTGGACCGTTACTGACACAAAGACAGAAGTGTGAAAGGCTCCTCTGACACGTCACATACCTGTGTTCGGCTGGCTCAGCTGTTCAGGTACTTCTGGGCAGTCATGACACCAAGAAGAGGATATTATTGGAGCCAACTTCTCCGTCGCCCGGTAAACCGATGGCCGCCCTAATTGACAGGAATGCATTACTGTCTGTGTCTGTGACCCCCGTTCAACCCACAATCTGTGGGATTCGCCTTTCGTTTCTGCTGCTGGTTGAAATCTGTAGGCTGCTCGCACAGCGTGCTGAATGATTTAAGCCTATTTTGCTCGCTCAAAACTATTTTTAGTCGCAAATGCGAGTGCAGTGAGGGACGGATCGCCACACTGCCGACATTTTATTCCGCCCGTCACGGCACGCCGTTTGATCGCGTTATCAAAACACGCCGCTATTATTTGGCCTTGCTTTTAATTTATTCCACCGAATACCGAATGTGTGTTTTTTTGCAATATTCGGCTGAATATATTCAGTTACCGAATATTCGGTGCATCCCTAAATGAATCATTTGTAGGTCTCACCTTTATGTATGCTTATTATGATTATGGCCTTGCTCAAAAAATAAATGAGAGAGCTGGCCTCTGATTTTAAAACATAGTGCCCTGGCAAACAATAGCTATTACCATCAGGATTTGTCATGGAGAATAAAACTTTAACCTGTTTAATACCAGTGAAAACTACAGGTGGCAGCTGGCTATTTTTTTAAAGACTACAAGCGGTCACAAATTTCAATGTTTTGTCACCAAACACTCAAATGTGACAGTTTTTGAGTTCAGATTTGCAGGAGATAAAAATCTATATACCTTCAACTTAATAAAGGAAGTCCTGTACAAAGTTAATCATCTCCAGCTCAACCTGATGCCTGGTAGTCCCTTTGTCACTCAGTTGAGGGAGAATGGATGCCATGACAAACTCTGCATTGACCTATGATGAGACAAAATCAAGATGTAAATTAAGTCACCCTTTTACTATGAAATTTCACAGCAAGTTAGTGTATCTTCTTCATAATAATAAATGGTCACACTTGTTTTGCTCACCTTGACATCTTCTCCAGGAACAAACAGGGGTTGGCAGATATCTGGGTACTGCCTGATGAGCAAAAGAAGGTCATACAGCTGCAGGCCTTCCATTAGTTGTTCCAACATAGGCTGCAACCTCAGCACTGCATGGAGTATTATGGCCCTACAACAGTAGAAATTAAAAAAATACTCGTGCATTGTATTTTCCTATAAATACATATATAAAAATACCTTGTATCCTAGCATACCGAACAATGGACTCCTTGTTTTGAACTGTGACAGCTCCAGTATATCCGCAACTTAAGATTTCATCAGTTAGGTCTTTAATTGAATGGTCAGTCGACAACTCAACCTGAAAATAAAAACATAAATTACCAGGAAGAACATCTCTGTGCCATATTACAAGTAAACCTGAAAATATCATTTGACAAAGAATGCTTTTTTCATTAACCCAGCATTTCCATCATATAGAGATCATACCTGCTCAATTAACCCTCGCAACTGGACATCAGCCACTGCATCACTGTTGGGTTTATCTTCCCACTACAGAGGTAACTGTAGGTCCATGGGCTGAAAAGGGCAGGGGCTGGGCCACCTTGTGCCAAACTAACAGCCAAAATCTCTCCAACAGTCCTATTTACACAAACTGAGCATTAATGGATTACTTATGTTAGAAAACATTTAACAAAAAAGAACAGTTTGTCCTTACTTGCATAAAAATAAACACACCTGTAGAGGCCACTATCTAAGTCAGTCAGAGAGTATCGTGGGCTCTTCTGATGCTGTGGTCCCTCAAAGAAACGACCCTCAATTCCTGCCACCATTTCTGTACACATAAGTACAAACTGCATTTACTCTGGTGCTCATGTGCCTTCTGTGTCAAGTACTAGTCAATTTCTTTTAGACCAGAATAGTTTAATTGGAAGTTCAACCAAAATATAAATGTGTGTGTGAGACCTTCTTTTCAGAGTGAGAGGTGACTAATGAGTAGAAAATGTATGCCATGTATGAAATAATACACAGTAGAATCATGTCAAAATATGAATGTAGAAATTGTCTGACAATATGTCTATGTAGCCATCCACATAGTTTTTGAAGGGGTTGTCTAATTTGGGCTGTTGAGAAGACTGTCACTACTCTCAATTAATGGGGTTATATTCAGTTTTTCTATGTACATTACAGAAAAACTAACACAACAGCATAACACACAAATCAAGAAGAGAGATCCTTCAATAAGTAGGATACAGATAAGAGTAAAATTTCTTCACAAATTTTGGGTTAGCTGCCCTTTTAACCATAGTATAACATACATAATAAGCTGAAATTTAAAAAATGTTTCAGTGGACTGATTTTCCACATGCTTTATAACATTCTAATGCAAATATGTTTGTTTTTGTTTTACCTGTGAGAAATTCCTTACGGAGAGCACTTGTGTCTACTCCTGCCTCTCCAAAGAAGGTCACTTTCAGAGAAGCAGTGGGTGAATTTTTCTTTTGACGTTGCCACTGCAGAATGCCTCTCTCCAGAATGTTTGTTCTTGAGATTTGGATGTTGAACGATTTCTCTGTGTCAACTCTTTGACAAATGATGCCCAATACATCATCAACACTGCCAAATAAAACACATAATTAATGGATGTAATGTATGTACAATCCAATATCATCGTTGCAAAGTGAAAACATCGATCCACATCATCATCTAGACATGCCTTTATTTTGAAATTGACCAGTTTTTTCCTGCAGTAACAGAACTGTAACTCCAAAAGAGCAATGAGTATTATAGGTCTATCTCAGGCGGGGAGTTCCCGTCCTCTGAAATGAGGCCAACGCAGAAGTAACTTAAAACTGCATTCTATCTAAAGGCCACCAGGGGGCGACTATCCTGGTTGCAAAAAGACTTATGTTTCAATACAAGTCAATGGAGAATTCACCTACTTCTCGCTTGATATATAACCTCAGTAAACGTTTTCAAAATGTGTTTATGTGTCAATCACTAGTTTAAAGCCTTCTTCAATACAGTATGATGTTAATTTTTTAAATGTTGGCCTGATTTGATATTTGACGATAAAGCAGGGTACGCATCAGGGCGTGGTTTTCAAATCTCTGAACTATTGGCTTCAAAACCAAGTCCACAAACCAATGGGTGACGTCACAGCTGTTACGCCCACTTCTTATATACAGTCTATGGTCTATCTGTATTCTTTTTATTAAAAAGAATAGATTGTTTTTCATTTAAATGTCTAGAAGAGCTCAATAACAAAATTGTGAAATAATATTTTAGTTGCTTTTTGTAAGTTGACAAACAGTAAATATAACTGATTGTGTTAAATGGATCAGATATCGTCTTATATCGATTGCAGGCCCCTGAACTGAACTGAAATAGTATCATCCCTATAATATCGTATCGTGATTAAACTTCTGCTTTACACCCCTACCACTAATGTTGAATACAAAAGCTCTGTAGAATGAAGATCCTTGTAGGATGAAGAAATTTATATCTTTACACAACACAGTATTTACCTTTTGTTCTGCTCCACTCCATTGTCCTGGCTCATGGCAGGTGTCTCAGCGAACTTACAATCTTCCTCTCTTCTAAAAAAGCACAAGGGAGACAAGTATTGGTACTAATAGAAAAAAACCCCAAGTACTTTAAGTAACATATACATTTAAAATTGACATAAATGTCCACCATCTCAAATACCTTTCTCCACACATGCTAACATGGATCTCTAGGAACTGTGGTGTGAATTTCAAGAAACAGATAAGACATGGAAGTTTCTGATAGAGAGAAAAAAAAAGTTTGAATATTAGCAACTGTCCCATACAAAAAATGTCAATGCAGGCATTTCAAAAGGAAGTACAATAAGATCAAGTACTGTACCTCTTCAACGGATGTCTCTGGGTCACAGTGCACAGAGGGGGCTGTCATGGAAATAATCTGGACCTCACTTTGGCATGTCTAAGATATTACAAATGACCCACAAATATTCTGTTATAACTCAGAGAACAACAGTCAACATTTTAAATAAGTTGTACTTGCACAATGCAACATCACATATATTTTGTAGCAATACTTACCTCAACATCCTCTGATGCTGAGTCTATCTGAGACACCATGCATTCCTGAACATGAAGGGCCAAAATCGGCAAAGGAAAACTCACTTTGCACATTTGGCATTGTGCTTTTGGCATTCAATGGCATCTGGAGGTAGCGGTGTTAGGTCAAACTCATGTTGCAAAGGCACAATATACAGGGTGTTTTTTCCTGCCCCTGAAACTGTGCGAATAAGGGTCCCAGTGTATCCATCAGAATCAGGAGGAATCATAATCAGTCTCCTTCTACCCTGACCACCTGTAATGCAACATTGTTTGGATCATTTCAGTTGTGTTTGTTTGGGCAAGTTATATGAATGGCAATGTATTACAATTGATGTTATATTTACAAGTTTTCTCTACCAGCTCTGTTTGTGGATTGTATATATGTAGGAACTGTATGTGTCAACTTTGTGTCTTTTAACAGCAGATACTGCATGTATCCAAGACAAATTTCCTTCGGGACAATAAAGTCTATCTTATCTTACCTGTAGCCTTGTAGAGTAGCCATCCTCCTGTCAGTCCCTGCATCTTAGGATACTCATTTTGTAGTAGGCTGAAGAACTAAGAGAGCAGTAACAAAGGGACTAGATGATGTCTACATGCTTGTAGAAAAGCCCAACACTATGATAAAGTGATATGTTTCAAATATAGACATTTAGGTGCAATTTTTAAGTAATATGTTCTCTATGTGTAATACCTCTTCATGGCTCATATCCCAGGACATGGTGAGATGTCGTTTTCCAAGTCCTGCCTGGGCATGTTCAATCTCCTCAGATGAGGTTGGGGTCGTCTCTGCATTCATGTTTAACAGGTATGCATAGAAACTAAAAGGCCTCCAGAATTTTTTAGATGCTGTGCCACAGGTCTTTTGACTCGGTATCTTTCGCTTTCCAAGGTAACTTTTCCTTGTGAAAAATCCAGGGAAAGATCTGCATGATTAAAAAAAATATCATATTTGTTTAAAACATGATCATAAATGTACATATAAAACATTAACTAGTCAAATTGCCTTCAAATTAACATGAAAAATACAATTCCATGACATCTAGAACCTGGCCATATCCTGATCTACAGAAGACAATTCCTGCTCCTGCTTTCTTCCTTGCTCTTGCTGTCCCTGAGAAAGGTTCTGTCTGAGCACACTTATAAGGCTCTGTGCAGCTGCAGCAACCGTTGAATTATAGTCGACATCCTGGCAAACACAGAATTTAACAAAGACAATATACATTAATGGCAAAAACTTGAGCTGGACACTCTAACCCAGTGGTTCCCAACCTTCTTTGGCTAAAACTCAGATGACCAGACATTTTTTTGCTCAAATTAATTTGTTTTTTCAATCAAGTAAAAGTTTTTTATTTAGGGACTAGGCTATGAATATTATTGTGAATAGAGGCAGAATAACCAGGATGAAGTTAGTGCAGGATTTTATTTTCCCACTGCAGGACATGTACAGCCTTGTGAGCTTGTACAAGATTCAAATTAATGCTGAACAAACAATGAAATTAAGCAATGAGTATGAAAAAAGAGCTAGGTAGCTACAAAATGGGCTATAACTGGTTAAAACAGACTAGACCCAAGTCAATTTGTGTTTTTATCATTGTAAAGATTATTATTGATTGATTACTAGAAATTCCTGGCAAACCCATTTGAGGTCCTGACCCCAAGGTTGGAAACCGCTGCTAAGGAGTAAAATCACAAACACTAGCTGATAGCATCAGGCCTCATTCACACTGTAGCTTTCCACCACAGGCTACTGTGGGTGTTTTTGGCATCCCATGCACTCCTGTAGCCAAAACATCACTAGCCTTATCCAAATTAATAGGTTTGTCTGTGTTTTTCCAGGCAGTGCCTGCTAGTTTCTAATACGCTGTAAAGTTAAGCTACTTAATGCTAACGTTAGCTCAATGTTTACTTTCCAGCTTTGACAAATTCGCAAATTAAAAGACGTCACGAAAAAATGTATGTTGTCACAAAAACGACCCCTTAATGTTTGTTATGATTTCCCAAAACTTAGTTAACATGTCTCACCTGTGTGTTGGATGTATGGGCTCCAGCAGATTGACCCGACCGACCAGACACCATCATAGCAAGCAAAACGAACACTACGCTGCGTTCACAGTGCTATGTGGAAATCGGACATATCAAAACTTAAAATGTGGCTGTTGAACTGCAAAATCTGGCATAATTTATCGCTCTTATACCGCAATTGGTGCTCAGTACTGTCTAAAACAGATTTTTAAATGGAAGTTTGTCACTGGCATCAATTCTTACACTGCCAATCACATGAATATGGTTTATATAAGTGTTGAGTTAGATTTGTTTTAGTTCCTACGTTCCCTGAAGGCACTGTCACTGGGGAAAGTTCCAAGCCTTTTTGTTCAGCTGTCACTCATGATTCCACGCCCAGCTCAGTTGATACCACGCCCCCCATGCCACATCAGGGTCAAAAGTCTGAAACTCAAAAAACAGATTTGAAACTGAAAAAAATAAGATCTGAAAGTGAAAAAAAGATTTGAAACTGAAAAAATAACATTTGAAACTGTAAAAAATAAGATCTGAATCTGAAAAGATAAAACATGCAACTGAAAAAAATAAGACCTCAAATGTCAAAATATATATGGAAGTGAAAAGTAAAAATAAATAATTTATTCAAAAGAATTACCAAAGTGAATCAAAATTATATTTAACCTGAAAAAACGTTTCATACACTTATTTTTATTTTGAATACATTGTTATATTTTTCAAAATTCAAGATCAACACATGAATTTTCAGTTTCAAATTTTATTTTTTCAAGTACAAAACTTTTGACCCTAATGTAACTCCATAGTTTTTTATGTCTGCACCTGACCTGAGCCCGAGAGTAGGGACTATGCCCTACTCAAACCCATCATGCATTCTGTTTTTTATGCCCAAACCCAATCAGTTTTCCAGCAATGCTAAATTTCCGTTGGCTGCAGCTACTGCTAGCTGGAAAGGCCAGAATGCCACAAGCAAGAATACTGAGCTTTGGGTAACATTTGGTGATGACATATATTTGTGTGACATTCTTCATCGTTAGCTAGCTATCTTTATCTTACATGAATAAGAAGCAGCCAAACACAAACATTAAGTCCATCATTGTCTGAACCCGACCCGAACACTATTTGTAAATATTTATCTGAACCCGGCTGAGCCCATTAGGTCCCTTATGTAGTCAGATATCCACGATCCAGTCTAGGATGGCCCCCATCCCACCTCATTTTAAATAACGTCTATATGTAATGTGTTTGCAGTCTCCATATGTCTGTGTTCATACAGCAGTCCATCTTTGTCTACTTTGTCTAACAAAACATATTACACAAGATGTGCCTGTCATTGATTGCGGCCACCTTCATTCCTCACACACACACACGTTTCCTCACACCTCACTCCCCTCTTCTCACTCTCCCCCTCAATCGGAAATACTCAGTGCTGACATGAGCTGCACTCTTGGGTTCAACTGGCAGCCTACACTGGACCAAGGACCCTGTGGCTGTACAAGCAGCTCACACTGTGGGCTGACAGCCTCTGACATCATGTGCCCCCCACGTGGAATAGGCTTCACCTCCGCCTCCCACGTCAGACCCCTTGCCAAGGCTCTATTTCCTGCCCCTGTCTCGTAATCCACAATCAATAACTGACAAAATGTCAAACACATTTGTATCTGTATCCTCCCCTTGGCAGGAACTCTATCTGCTGGTTGGGCTGGTGTCAAGGCTGCCAGAGCTGTAATCTGTTACACCACACTCCTGATAGAAATACTACTGACAGATTTATGTTTGGGCTCAGGGAGAATCAATCATTTCTTCCCACATATTGTCTTCGAAGCAATCTTATTTAATCTAATTTATCTCACTTTGATTACCCGGTGCAAATCATGCAAGCAATGGCGTCTGCAATATTAATGTTCTCATCAATAAAGACGGCAAAATGGAGACCAAGCGGTTGATCAAACCACTAATTAAAAAGAACTGAACTTCAAATAATACACATTGAAAAGCTATTTGGGTCTAGCATCTCATATCTAAGAACAGAACAATAACAGGAAACATTTTCACTTTAAACACCTTTACTTCTTACTTCTTGTGTCATTTAGGTATTTAGGTACTGAATTAATGTAAATGGGAACTGTCAATTTACAAGACTTCACACTTAAACGCTAAAAGGGGAAATGTCTCACATTGCAGGAAGCAATTTGCTTTATTAATATCAGCTCAGCAGGATACAGGCCCTTTTGCCTTCAGAACTGCCTTAATTCTTGGTGGCGTAGATTCAACAAGGTGCTGGAAATATTCCAGAAACTTTTGTCCATATTGACATGATAGCATTACACAGTGGCTGCAGATTTGTTGGTGCACATCCATGATGCAAATCCCATTCCACCACATCCCAAAGTTGCTCTGTTGGATTGAGATCTGGTGACTGTGGAGGCCATTGTAGTACAGTGAACTCATTGTCATGTACAAGAAACCAATTTGAGATGATCTGAGCTTTGTGACATGGTGCATTATCCTGCTGAAAGTAGCCATCAGAAGATGCATACTGTGGCCATAGAGGGACAGACACAATCAGCAACAGTACTCAGGTAGGCTGTGGATTTAAATGATGCTCAGCTGGTAATAAGGGGCCCAAAGTGTGTCAAAAAAATATTCCCCACACCATTACACCACCGCCAGCAGCCCGAACCATTGATATAAGGCAGGATGGAACCATGCTTGGTGGCCAGGTGGGCTAACGACTCATATTGTGACTTTAATGACTCTGAAACTAAGAGCTCACATGTGTCCCCTACGACTCTGCTAGGGTTCACACCCACACAGGGTTTAAAGCCTGCGACTCTGTACCAGTCATTTAGAACTGAAGAAGCTTCTTGGATGAGAGGCGAAACGTCTTCAAGAAACACAAGCAAGTCCAGTTGCCTACGATATAGCACTTACAATTACCATGACCTGGATGACTGAGAATCTTCACAACTTGCTTTCATATTGTTTATGCCAAATTCTGCGACTTCTATCTGAATGTTGCAGCAGAAATCAAGATTCATCAGACCAGGTAATGTTTTTCCAATCTTCCATTGTCCAAATTTGGTGAGCCTGTATAAATGTTGCCTCAGTTTCCTCTTCTTAGCTGACAGGAGTGGGAGCCAGTGTGGTCATCTGCTGCTGCAGCCCATCTGCTTCAAGGTTCAACATGTTCTTCTTTCAGAAATGATCTTCTGCATACCTTGGTTGTAACGAGTGGTTATTTGAGTTACTGTTGCCTTTCTAACATTTGGACCAGTCTGGCCATTCTCCTCTGACCTCTGGTATCAACATGGCATTTTAGCCCAGAAAACTGCTGCTCACTGGATATTTTCTCTTCTTATGGCCATCCTCTGTAAACCCTAGAGATGGTTGTGTGTGAAAATCCCAGCAGATCTGCAGTTTCTGAAATACTCAGACCGGCCTTTCTGGCATCAACAACCATGCCATGTTCAAAGTCACTTAAATCACCTTTCTTCCTCATTCTGATGCTTGGTTTGAACATCAGCAAGTTGTCTTGACCATGTCTAAGTGCCTTAATGAATTGAGTGTCTGCCACATGATTGGTTGATTCGCCATTTGTGTTAACGAGCAGTTGAACAGGTGTACCTAATGAAGTGGCTAGTAAGTATAGACTGTTCCTACCCTCAAATAGGATGCACAGGAGCATTTCTAAATTAGTGCAGCTAATCATCAACACGTCCTTATACTGAAACAGAAATGAGACCAAGTCATTGTTTTGCAAGTCCCCAAGTAGGTCTCAAGTCCTTGCACTCAAGTCCCCAGTCAAGACAGGCAAGTCTCAAGTCAAGTCATAGAAATCATTATCTAAGTCTTTGCAATAATCCTGGCTACAGCCCTGATGAGTGAAAACCCTGTCAGAGTTAAACTTAACAGTTGTACTTTTCGATCTCAACTTCGTAGTGACAGGCGTCTTTTTTTTCTTCTTTTTACCAGATACTGTCTCCCTCCTCCTATTAAGTTCCTCCTTCAGTTTGAATGCCTTCCCTTTCGTCTCAGCTGTCTCTAATGTACATTGCTCTGTCAAACAAGAGGCACAAAATCAATCCCTTGCTTTCTATTTGTGTGTTGCAGAACCACCCTGCTTCGGATCAATACACATTCAGGCTGGATGACAAAGGTAACAGGTGTGTGTGTGTGTGTGTGTGTGTGTGTGTGTGTGTGTGTGCGCGCACGTGCATGCGTGCGTGTGTGTGTGTGTTTGCAGACTTGTTATGCACTGAAGAGAGCTTCCTTTTCAACAAATAAAAGTGATCCTGTGTGTTTTCCCGCGTGTTTTTCTGTGTGTGTTCCTGTGTGTTTGGCAGTGCTGGTGCTTGTTTAACTCTCACTGAAGTACCCATAGAAGAAATTTACTGTAAATAGTTACAAATAAGAAGGACACAATACAGTGTTATTTCTCCAACATATGTAACCTTGACATAAAAAAAGCATCACTGTTTGATGTAAATGAATATTTTAACCAAATTATGTTGTAGATGGGAATCTTGTGGCTGTGGATGAGAGCAGCAGCAACATCTATTTTAGCCTTTTAGAAACCTTGTAAGATGTGCTGTATTAAGATTATTTTATTGCTTAACCTTGCTATGATCCATTGAAAGAAACAGTAATTGTACTTCACAGCACACAGGAGTTGCTGATCAACCACTAACTCAATCATTTAGTTTGCTATTATGTGACTTTTAGAACCTGCCCAACGTGGTATCCACAGTAGTACGTGGGTTTATGTGTAGCAACAACATTGTGCAAGGCCTCGGAAATTAGCATTTTGAGGCAATTTTTTTGGATTAGAATGTATCATGAACACCACTGGAAAGCTACAGAATAACAATGTGGGGTATGTGTGAGGGCAGGCTCCGCAGGGAACATAATCCTCCTGTCCAAAATGAGCGCTGCACACGACTGCATTTTTGGTCACAGATAAAGCTGTGAAATCGCGCCTCCTCACCTGCACAAAACGCACCTAGGCACGAAAACTAACTCCACTCATTCGCCACCCCTTGTGGCCCAA